GACTGACCTGCACCTGCAAAGGAACTGAGAAGTGACAGTTTTGTCATGCAAAGTTTGACTGTGCTGAAAGCAACAGTTATCTTTGCCGAGTCCAATCATCTTTTTTTATGAAGTGTACATGTGCATTTGGAGGTTCCAGTTTTGTTTATGTCCGTCTTAAGGAAAAACTGCAACTTGTGCATCCAGGAACTCTTCTCCATGAAGAGCATATCAATGATGCCACCCCCATGCCCTGACCTAAAAAATACTTGTAATTTTTAGTTCTGACTAAAAGAGAAAAAAAAAACCCACAAAAAATCCAATACAAAACAAACAAACAAAGAAAAGACAAAATATCTCATTTCATTAAGATTACCCTGATGTCCTTAAATATACCAAGCTGGCAGGCAAAGAAGGTCACTTGAAATATCACCTAAAAGTAAAGCCTGAATAAGATATTCCACTTTCTCCATTAATACAGCCATTTGCAAACCGAGGGAAGGGAATGGATTCTGAAGTTCACCTTTGCAAGTCATGGATGGCAAATTTTTCACTGTGTCATCAGCGTAACATGAACCATTAGAACATTTATTTCTAAGCCAGGCTTCAAGTTTGCTATCCCTGAACAATACAGGAATCTGGGGGCACGAGAGCTGCCAAGGGTAGGGAGAACCTGTCAGACACCCATTTTGACCAGGTTTTGGTAAAAGAACAGTCAAGGTTACCTAGTAGGAGTATATAGTGATAAGAGCATCTGTGATGCAGTGCAGAGGGCAAAGGGAAGAAGGGCTAGGAGCAGCAAGTCAAGCCCAGCCCTTACGTGTTTATTGACACTCCTATCTGGGGGGATGGGGCAGGAGAGAAAAAAATAATAATAATTAAAAAAAAAAAAAGAGCACAGCTGCCACCCCAAAAACAGACCTCCCATCTGCCACCCACGATTTGCATGTCACCTTCTCCAGGCTCATTTGTACTTCATTAACTGCCATTGACTTAACAAGATTTATGCAAATGACACCATAGGAGCTCGCTAACTCCCACTGCAATCAAGTGATTATGTATGTACAATTCTCCACAGCAATGAAAAATTAATACATGACAAGGCCCCTCACCGCTGAGTTGAGCTTCCTGCCTTTATTTCTCTTGTTGTGCTTTTCCAGAAATTCAAATCTGCCCAACTGATAAACGGAACCACAAAAACTAAGGTGTTTTCCCAAAATGCTACAAGCCCCACCCCAGGAAGTGTCCCCCTAAAATACACAACCGAACATGTGTTTCAAAACAGCCTTCAAAATATGCACTCAGGCTACCAGGAACAAGTCTTCATTTCCAGAATCAATGGCTTTGAAGGGAAGATTCTCCAACCAGAGAAAGCCAACCTCTCTGCTCTGTGAGTATCACAGCAATGCTACAGAAAACTGTTTTAGTCTAACCACCTCTTCCCCACAAGCACAGAACTTTCTATGGGTTTTAACTTTGAGCTACTATTGTTTCAGATGTTTTCTGACTCCGTTTGACTAGTGGAAGATATTTAAATAGCACAGAAGTGAGACTTCTCTGCATATTTTAAAAAATTACAGTCCTCAAAAGAGGCTAAAAGCCCAGAACTTAAGACATGCTGACCTGCTGTGCACACACATGGCATTGGTACCTCCCTGGGAAATTTGCCTTCCCAGAATTTCACTCGCTGCAGAGTACTTTGGCAGAAGTGAGCAGTGATCATTTAAAAGCATGGCTGCTTTTCACTGCCTGCATTTTGGGTTTCTGCTGGGAGCAGGAAAGTTCATCAGGGCAGTTTTATATGGCTTAGTCCAATAAAACTGTACTTAGCACTGTAGTGAAAACTCAACATGCAGAGAGGGGAGAGAGAGAATAAGAATATTAACTCTTTTCAACCAGACTACTTTGACTTAAGGATAAAGCCCTGAAGGAATCACATGTTTCCTTGGAAGGAAAATGCCATTCACAATTTTAACTATTTCATAGAATCCCAGAATAGTTTGGGTTGGAAGGGACCTTAAAGATCATCCAGTTCCTGCCCACACCTTCCACTAGCCCAGGTTGCTCCAAGCCCCATCCAACCTGGCCTTGGAACACTTCCAGGGATGGGGCAACCACAGCTTCTCTGGGCAACCTGTGCCAGTGCCTCAGCACCCTCAAAGGGAGGGATTCCTTCCCAATATCCCATCTAACCCTGCCGTTTGGCAGTGTGAAGCCACTCCCCCTCATCCTGTCAGTCCAGGCCCTTGTAAGTAGTACTGGAAGGCCACAATTAGGTCACCCTGGAGCCTTCTCTTTCTCAAGCTGAGCAACCCCAATTCCCTCAGCTTTTGCATGTAGGAAATGTGCTCCATCCCTCTAAGCACCTTGGTGCCTCCTCTGGACTCACTCCAACAAGTCCATGTCCTTCCTGTGCTGGGACCCCAGAACTGGAGGCAGTGCTCCAGGTGGGTCTCACCTGAGCAGGTCAGAGAGGCAGGATCCCCTCCTTCACCTGCTGCCCATGCTATGGGGATGTGCCCAAGAGATGGTTCCATTTCTGGGTGCCAGTACACATGGCTGGGACATGTCCAACCTCTCACCCACCATTTCTCCTTTTATTCCCAAGTATCCCAAGTAACAATAGACAGGAGAAGAGGAAATGGCCTGAAGTTGCACCAGAGGACGTTCAGGTTGGGCATCGGGAAAAATTTCTTCACTGTGAAGGTAGTCAGGCACTGGCACAGCTGCCCAAGGCAGTGGTTGAGTCACCAGCCCTGGAAGGATTTAAAAGCTGTGTGGGTGTGACACCTGGGGACATGGTTAGTGGTGGCCTTGGCAGTGTTGGAGAATGGTTAGTCTTGGAGGATTTTTCCAACCCTAATGATTCTATGATTCCCCAACCATTTGTCATAGAAAACACCATAATGGTAGGGGTTTCTCATAGAAGCAGCATAGTAGTGCAACATACTAAATCTTTTAGGTCAAGACACTTCTTTTCACATCCCTCTGTTTTATTCACAGTTGAGGCATGAAATAAGAGAGACACCATATCTTTTCCAGCAGAAATTCCTACTGCCTCAGAGAAACATCTGAGTACCTAGCACCTGCGGAGCCCACCAGGAACAGCTGTATCAGCAACTGAGCCTGGTGCCACCTTGACGAGTAAGACCTCTGAAATCCCTTCTTTTGATCCAAGTCTGATGTGAAATCTTTAATCCAAGTCTGATGTGAAATCCCCCTCAGAGCAGCCACCCTACAGCACTGCCCAGCACCCTCCCCAGCCCCTGACAAACAGGACAAAACAGACGTGACAAAATGAAATTACCATGACTAGGATTAGTAACACCAAGTACACATTCCCAAAAGATTGGCCGCATTTAGGATACCAGTAGGACTGCAGGGAGAGTATCTCCATAGAGAAATTCAGAAGACTGTGGAGGATATTTCATTACAGCACGGTGTAGTGCAATCACACTTACAATGTCTATCTTGTAATGCTTTTCCTAGGAGCACATTTTTAATGTAATTAATTCCATGCAACAGCATTTCAGAAACACTGGCATTGATATTCCTCAGATTTTCATTCTCAGCTGCACTTTCGTTTCATGAGCATTACCCAAAAGAATTCCAACCGGTCTAACCCATCTCATACCATACAAAAGCTGAAGCAAAACAACTGTGGTCTGTTTTAAAGGCCTGGAATCTCCTTCCCTGAACGCAGACATGTCCAACCAAGAGCCAAAGTCTGAGCCTCTCTGCTGTCAAACTGCTCTTCTGGATTGCAGTGTGCTTGATTAAAAAATCTGACCACCAGATATTCATACACCACAGTATTTTTGCTGCCTGGTGGTCCCAAAAGGTCTTTTTACATGACTATAAGAAGAAAAACCCCTGCTAATAGTTAAGGGCACCAAACCATCTCCCCCTCACATCCAGATAAGAAGAGGAAAAACACAAAACAACCCCAAAATACCTGAGTGCACCTCCACATGAGACCCAGGGCAACCCGGCAAGATGAAGCACAGACCGAGGAAAGATTAGGAGAGGCAAGCAACCTTTCTCTGAAGGGCAGGATAGGCACCAAAACAACTGGAAACAACCATGTGGGAAGAAAACAAGCTCCCTGCCCTCAGCACTTGTTTCCAACAAGGCAAGTAAATACTTGCAAACACTATCACAGAAACTGTTCGTGAAGCATCCCGTAGGAATGCTCAGTGTGGCCACCTGACATGGATTCAGTGTCATCTCATTTGAGGAAGAAAACGATCTCGTTCCCCAAACACTTCACATGCAACCCTGGCACTGCTTTTGCCTTTCAGAGCAGTGTTCACAGCCACCATTTAGCATTGAGTTTCCGGCTAATGAAAGTGCATCTCGGCTAGTAAAACAGACCAAAACAAATCCTGGAATTCAAGTCCTGTTGTGTAATGAGAAAGTTTAATTAAGGCCACACATTACAGCTGTAAACGTTCTCTTATATAATAAGGTCTAAATGAAACTGAACCTAATCAAAGTTACAATTCCTTCATTAGCAAATTACAAACAAGAGCGCGCAGCTGACACACCGGCTATGATTATCACAACTAATTGCCTCGTTGTTACAAACCAGCCTGAAACTGTGTTCAGATGTCCGTCTGCGGCAGCAAATTAGGGCCACATCAGGCTATTTCTGCCATCACAAGGGGCTCTTGTCGAGCGATCTGATTTACCCTGCGACTGGCAGCGCACGGCCCAATCAAAGCGCTCTACAAAGGCAGCTTTGAAGCCGGCGCAGCCTGGAAACCCGCTCCATATGCAGGCCGGCAGACTGCACTTCATTAGGCCTGTTGTCACATTTTCCCTCTTCTTATTCTAATGATCCTATTTTAATACACACAGGAACCTCTCCTAATTGATGTCAAGTGAGTGACTTCCACATTCATCACCAGAGCACATCAAACGTGGCTTGGTGCGAAGGCCTGCCATCGGAGCGCTGCCGACCCGAGGTGTGGCTCCCAACTATGGAAAGCAGGGAAAAAATACAAGTGTTTCAGCATTACCTGTTTAATTGGGATTGCGCGGCCGCTGCCAATGCTGTCTGTTCTGCTCTCCAGGACCTTCTTCTCTTTGTCTGGGTCACTCCCTTTCCGAGACTGCAGAGCAAAAGAAAGTTTGTGCTCCATTAAACGCAGCAGTTCACCCAGAGGATGCTTTTATTTTCCTTTCTTCAAGCAATAAAATAAATAATTTCAGGCATAAATATAGGCTCAAAAACTGTCAGTTGAATCCACACAAGTGCACAACTGTCCTAAAACCTGAATAACAAGATTACAACCCATAAATTACAACCATGCACTAATCTGAGATGCATTTGGGTTTGAAGAGTTGCAGTCTCACTGTCTGAACACCCAGCAGATCAGAGGACACACTTCTGAAGTTTCCAACAGTAGCTCTGAAGAGGAATGAAGGTTCCAGCACCTCGTTAAAAAACATTTAATACATCCATGCATACATTTAGCTCACACCTGTGTGGGCTTCAGAAATGCTATCAGCTATTTAGAAATACGATTTTGTGACACTCTTTTTGATCACACTGACTTTAACTTATTATTTTTTCTACTTTGGGATGGTTAGAAAGTTGGAACTGCAAGAAAAGGTGGTGATTGATGCTGAAAAAAAAGTTATCTGAACACAGTGAGGAAAAACCAACGTGAGGGAATTTAACCAATGTCTAAAACTCTGAACTGCTTTATCTTGGCTTTCTGTGAGGCTGGAGCTGCCACCAGAGTGAGGTGGCACAGCGTGCACCTCATGACTTTCCCAAGTTTTGCAGGAGTTTTAGGAAGTTGCTTGGATTGCAGTCCGTTACCAAGAGAGAACGCACAAACATAATGATTTTGACAGATTTATTTTATTACAAAAAGAAGACCTGAGAGTCATCCTCCTTAATAACTGAACTGACAAGTGACAACTTCACTCCATTACTTTCCAATAGGAACATCACTCACACAATATCGAAAATGGGAAAACATTTTCATGTGCTTTTCAACTCAGAGATGATGTATGAAAGGAATCCATTTGTGCTGTCCAGCACCACAATGGGGAGTTAATGAAAACCAGAGCGGTGCAAGATCCTGCTCCTCATTTTCAGCGGGAAGAGACGTTTGAAACACTGAAATTAGGAGGACAATTAGGATCACGGACCACTAACAGTCACTTTCCATATTCCATGAACAGGTGGAAGGAAGAATAAACACCCAAAGCAGCTGCCTTCAGGCATGAGAGGAGGGAAGGGGAGGGAGTAAACACGCGGGGATGACTTCAAGTACCA